GAAAACGCCCTCACCCGCCATGATTTAAAATGCCGTGTAAACATACTGTAAACATTGTCAACTTATTTCGCAAGTATGGAAAACAGAGATGGATGGCCGCTGAAGTGCAGGCACTTGTAGCAAATGTAGCACTGCCAGTTGTCGTTGGAGATTCTTAGTCCTCCTTTCCGTTCTTTCAATCGCTTTATGTAGCTATACGTCGACTTTCCATGTCCATTATTGTGAAACCCGCGAGACAACAAAAACACAGCATCCTCCGTCCTCCATCCTCCTGTTGTTAACGTTGTTTTTCTTTGTTTCCGTTGTTGAACGCCGCGCACAAATGACGTCGCTGTCGACCAGTTCCTAGTACACACTGTCGGTGCGAATGCAACCCTTTAAATGGTACTGGGAAATAGTTCGCGCAAAATCGTCCCAGTACTTTAGTACTGTCCATTTAGTTCTGGAACTAAAGCGGTGCGAAAGGCCCTAAAGACTTTACATCTTCCTGTCACACACACACACCTGCTGCTGCTGTCTCTGGTGGTTAGCTTTCTGTTTGGCACGGCGCTCCAGGAACTGTCTGGCAAACTCTTTGGCTTCAACAGTGTCGCCCAGGTAGGAGCAGATAATGTTCAACACCTCATACGGGGACTCCACCTCCTTCAGGTACGCCACAATAGTAGGCACTGTGAACACAAACACACGCTTTTGCTTAGAAACTCTCAGGCCTGCTAGGCTAATAAGTGTCTTGTGTTTGTTTTTACAAACTGAGGGACGAGTCTAAATTACTTTCCACCATAATCGTCAGCTTCAGTAGATGTTGTCAAAAGAGAATTTGTATTTCAGATTATTTTTTATTACAAAGTGACCCAAATGAGCTGGTGTGTGCAAATCCTAAAAGAGAGATGTCTTACCATCCTGGGAAGAGGAGCAGTTATTGGCGGAGGTGTTGAGCGCATGCAGCATCTGTTCACACCAGGTGGTGAAGCCGTCCTGAGACTTCATCCCCTGCAGGAGTTTCAACAGCCGCTCCTCTTCCTCAGTGCGTTTACGGCCTCTCATCATGTACTGCTCACTGTAGAAACACACACAAATGGATTAGCTCCAACAAACACGAGTATAATACTAGCAACACCAAGGTCATGGGTTCAAATTCCAGTTCAGTTTACTTTTTTAGCAAATATAAATGATTTGGAGTTCAAGAAATATTTCTTATTATCAATGTTGAAAACAGTTGTGCTGCTTAATAATGTTGTGGAAACCATGATACATTTTTTCAGCATTCTTTGATAAACAGAAAGGTAAAGAACAGCACTGATGTGAAATTGAAATCTTTTCTATCAATGTAAACGTTTTCATGCATAAATGCAAACAAGAATGTTTTTTCAAAGACCTTTCTGGTCATTTTTGATTATGGCATAGAGATTTTTAAAAACACTGTGATTCAGATTGATTTGCTAATCAATCATTTAGACCATTTTTTTAACCAGTAGAGATGTGTAAATAGTAAATGTGTACCTTGGATGCAATGTACGTCGCTTTGGATAAAAGCATCTGCTAAATGCATTAGGGATGTAACGATTAACCGCGATCCGGTTGAAAATAGATTTAAATATGTGACGATTCAAATCGGTTGAGATGCTAAACAAATCGCGATTCAGTTAGGGGTAGGGGTTTATATGAATGTATGTCTGAGGGGAACTTACTATCTTTCAATGGTATTTTTTATTTTCCTCTTGCCTCTGTATAATGCATATCAGGGCTCCAGACTCATTCTTCCCACTGGTCGCTCTTTCGCAACTAACTTTCTCAGCTGGTTACACGAGCACATGATTTGGTCGCAATATATATATATATATATTTTTTTTTTTTTTTT